AACATGTAACACCTATAAAGTTCAAGCCAATTTAAAACTTTTCAAACATTTAAAACCAATAGTTATTACAAATTTGTTTTCAAAATAGTCTAATATCATAGTTCATCCTAGGAACATAAATAAAACATGAGGAGCTGTACGATCACGCCTTCGCCTTGCCGCGATCCCCTGATGTACCTGAAACGATAAACTGAAACTGTAAGCCAAGGCTTAGTGAGTTACCCCCAAAATACCAACCTCATAACCATAATCATATCAAATAAACAAACATAGAACAGCTTGCATGATGAGCCTTCAGCCTGACTGGACCGCCTCGCAGGCCTTCGGTCTATCTGGACCGCTCTCCGAGCCTTCGGCATGTCTGGATCGCCTCGTAGGGCCTTCAGCCTATCCGGACCGCTCGCCGGGACTTTGGTCTGACTATCATACCCTCCTGGGTCTGTAGTCTATCCGGACCGCCTGGGTATGTTGGCCTTCAGCACAAAGCAGGACCACCTCAACCCAAACCCCCAATCAAACAAACATGTGCACATACATATCATACGCTAGCATATAGCATAGCAACATCCTATAACCAGGATACCGACCTAACCGGTCACTAATATAGCATCATCCTATGCCCAAGATACTGACCTAACCAGGTCACTAACATATATACAGATAATCATACAGATCTAACAGATCACATAGCATAACAACATCCTAAAACCAAGATGCAATCATAAAGAGCCGACCTTGGTGCCGTAGACCCTGTTGATATAGTGAGGAGAACTCACCTTGCAACTGTCGACTGAAAATAGAAAGCTCAACTCTCAAATCACCGCCACGAACTCCACCACCTATATCCAAACACGTCATAAGTTCATGAATTCCCAGATACCCCAGAAGTCGACTGGTCAATCCTTGGTCAACGTCAAAGTCAACTTCCCGGGTCAACAATCCATGTTGACCTGAACTCATCGAGTGTATCCAGCCACTCGCCGAGTTCCCGGCATAAACCATCCGCTCGCCGAGTCACCGGAGTGACTCGTCGAGTTCCTAAGGCTCGCGATCGAGACTCCCTGACCACTCGTCGAGTTTTTCCCTTGCAACTCGCAAGTTCACAGGCATCCAACGGTTGGTAAGAACCTTAACCGACTTGCCGAGTCATTCTACTGACTCGCCGAGTTTACGACAATCTTTATCGGACTCGCCGAGTTGTTCATCCCACTCGTCGAGTTCAGGACCATCTCCTTATGACTCGCCGAGTCGACTCGCCAAGGCCTGCTTATCACGTAAAGTTGCAAACTTTACGTGCATGTAAAGCTTTAAGTCCCTTAAATGACAAATATAAGCTTGCAATGAAGTCTCACACTCGAGGGGAGGCTTATTCTAGGCAAGGCTGATAACTTTATGGGTCTAGAGGCCAAAGGGAGTCCAGATCTGAAGTTACAACTTCAGATCTTAACTCAAACATAAGAAGCCTTCCATAAAACCCATCCAAAAGAGATCTTTGATGAACATGAGCCAAGGAAAACAGTCTAATACCTTCAAGAGAGTGTTCACTGATGTAGATCTTGAATCCCACGAGTTCTTGCTTCTACTTGCTTGTTTTCCCCAAGTGTTTCCTCCTCCAAAACTCCTCCTCAAAGCTTGAACACACCAAAAGAACACACACACTCGATTTAGGGTTTGAGAGGGACAAGAAGCAGTAAAGGGGAGGCTGGGGGAGGCCAATGATCCTTTAAATAGGGTGAAATGCCTCGAAATCTAGGGTTTCATCTGCCAGCTCCTACTCGTGGAGTCCGCTCTTGGACTCGGCGAGTAGATCACTAAAACACGTGGACCAACCCGCTACTACTCGACGAGTAGGGCGGCCAACTCGTCGAGTAGACCCAAAAACCAAAAAGGATTCATACATAAATCAATACCTGGGAATCAGGGCGTTACAGAACAGTTGCTCGATAACTACCACAAATATCACCGTGTTAGCCCGAGACACATCCACAAGTAACAACAGTTTCAGTCTGTGACATATCAATGAATAGCAACAGTGTCAACCCGTGGCACATCAACGAATAACAACAATGTCACCCCGTGAGATATCAACGAATAACAACAGTGTCAGCCCGTGACACATCAACGAATAACCCCGTGTCAATCCGTGACGCATAAATAACACCTTTGTCTCATATAATTCACCTGCATGAATAACAAACCATCTTGTGGTACATGTGTATCTCTATAACACCGCAACATTAACAAATATGATATTCAATCATTTACAGTACACATAACTTGCATATTGTAACATACGCTTATCACAAAGAACGAATATTAGAGTAGTGTTACTTGCATGGTTAGCTGACAGACACATCAACTTCGGACCTTGACCTACTATGCTTTCCATCTTGTCACATGCCAATACCTAAACAACAATTATTAAGTTCCTCAGAACCTGTCACAATTCACTACTCACTATACTTTGTGACTATTTGTCACCAAACACATTACACTCGGTAATGCAACCATGATAGGCTTAACCCGTAACCCGTTAAATAAATATACCACATTGGGAAACATTAGTAAATATGGGTTTACAACCCTTACAGTGTGGACTAACTATCTTACCATAAGCTTTATTTACAAATCTTACCAACATGTTCGTAATAGCACCATATCACCTACATTCGTAACATATACTCGGGTCGAGCAACTCCCGAAAACTATCACATATTATAATTACACAATAACGGGGTAAAAGATACCTCCCTGATCTCGTAGCTTAGCCCTGTATCTCCCATACATCGGTATAAACTCCCAAGAACGATTCTCGAGATGCATCTCTGATCACGTGTGCTAAAATCCCCCAAATGACATGAAAACACTTGTATTTATACTTTGGGCATTGCTACGTCGTTAACATATTTGTGTCATGTCATGATGATCAACTAGACCCGGTTTCGCCACGTGTCGCACTATACCACCACGTATCTTGCTAACTCACCTCATTGCCACGTCGTGGAAAATATAATTCTACGTCGTGGTGGTCAAAAGTTTGACGTGTGACTTTGACTTCTGTTGAATTCCTCAAAATAGCAACATACTTTCATCTCAACTTCAAATAGCCATAACATTCTCATACGAACTCTGTGTTCAACAAAATTTATATGCACGAAATCCTCATCACACGAACTACAACATTCCTTAACTATCTTTTGTTAAATAACATTTTTCAAATTAAAGCAACTTAGGGCTTTATTTTATTTGATATATATCTCTTACATAGATACGCTTTGTTGGCAACATTTTAGTCATCAAGAGTTGCTCTAGTTTTAACCAGATAGTCATTTCCGAAGTTCCCTTCAATATAATTTTAAGAACATTATTAGATAGATGTAAGAGAAATTGTGATTGAGGTTTTAAGTATCACATATATTTCTTCTCATTCGACCATGATGCATGAATCTTATCTACACCTAAAAGTAATTTGTCTGAATCCATTTAGATTAGCACATACTTCATATTTAATTGACATAATGAAAATAGTGTATTTATATATGCAAAGGAATGTGATACTTCTTTGAAGGCTAAGCACTAAACAATCTTAAACTAAACAACTATCAAAACTTGGAAGCTACGATACCAATTCTAGGGGACATGAAGACAATGATTTGGTTATGACTAAGAACAAACATGAAAGATCTATATGCTCAAGAATCATTTTAGAATGATATTACCACTAATACATTATCATATAGGGTCACATCAATAACAAGTAGACACAAATTCATTATTTATAAGAAGTTGATTCTTGATAAATATTAATAAATTTTGCGATTAAATGGAAATTATTTATGTTATGAAAATAATATTTTACAATAACAAGTATGATGGTTTATATCATATGGTATGATATATAAAGTCATGTATATCTTTTGGACTAAAATGATTTGTCTGTTAGAAAAATGATCATGGTTTTTATAAAATATAAGAGATGAAAGATTTATAAATATCTTCTTCACTCTAATATGAAAACCAAATTTAGGAGAAAAGATATAAGTTTTGTCTTTTTTGCTTATTTAAATGGGCATGCCATGACTTGACATAATAATGAAGTTTGGTCTTAAAATGTTAACACTCAAAGGAGAAAGACTAGCTAGTAAAGTTCTTAAAGGCTTTCAAGTTATCTTCCTTCTATTCAACCCTAAAACCGTAAGCTTCACTCTCTCTCCCTCTTTCTCTCTTAAAGGGTTGAGACTAGTTAGAAAGAAGTTGATACTTTTGCTCCCCTTTAAGACAAAAGATAGGTTTTTGTTCTTAAAGGCTTATATGAAGAACTAGCATTCAAGCCTCCTAGTAATTGTAATTGTTGGTGGACTTTTCTATATGAATTCGAGTTTGGATTCTTGCTATACCCATCAACTTCCAACCTCCCGAGATGTTTCAAAGTCTCCAAAATGTTGTTACTTATTAATCCTTCTATGGATGTATTTATTCTTTCATGTTCATGCAAAAGTATCTTTATGAGAATAAAAATTGTTTTATGATATTCAAACTTTATAATGCTTACATTGTCAATTTGGTCATTTTAGAAACCGATTTTTTTTAATAAAACCCAACAAACCACATCGACTATAAAGTCAAATACTGAGGAACACATTCAATCGAAATATGATAATATTTGAAACAAAATAGGGATTGTTAATAATTCACCAATATGAAGTAACGAAAAACAAATAAGAAGAAATAAAAGGAACGCCAAGATTCTACATTTATTGTACAAGAGACCTTACCCTGTATTTATAATAATGGGATAGGCTTAACTATGGTATGGATAGATCTGAAAGAAGAGTTATCCTTTATTTAGACATCAATTCCTTAATTAATAAGAAACTTGTGCCTAAAGAATATGGATAGATAACTCCAAGAACGAAACTCAAGTACTCTTCCAAATTGCTAGGTCCAAAGTTGAGGAGTCTGAAGCTTACGACTGCGACCCCGATAAGGCAGCCAAGCTGTCAAGCCAGCTGAGCTGCTGCACAACCTGGACTTTTGGAGGCATATTTCAACATGATTAGTTGGAACTTGAAATTTTGACCTAGTTTTTTGAATTCATTGTAAAGTTTGCTATTTATGTAAAAGTGTGTATTCTTGTTTGGCATATTTGTTCTTTCAGGACCCACATCTATACATGAATTTCCAATGATTCTGTTTTGTATATTCATACAAAGTAAAAGTAGAATATGTTTTAAGAATAGAAAATTTAACTGCCTGAAAGTTGAAAGGTAGAGGCAGTGGCATTGGTCGCCAATGATTCCATGGTAGCTAGTTCAATCTCCGCCTGATCGTCCAGAATGGTAGGCAAGACTGGTGCTCTTTCTTGAAGAGATTTTTCACTTAAAAGCATAACCACTTCAGACATTGCAGGTCTAGTTGATGGTGGTTGAGTGCACATCAATGCTATCTTAATGATCTCCACAGCATGTTCTACTGCATATTCACTAGGATCTAGTTTCTCATCCATTAAATTTAAATGTGTTCCACTCTCATGTAGATCCCATGCCTATCATACACATAACAGCAGAAAGGCTAGTGAGAACTTCTCACCTAAGCTTAAGGTCTCACTGAATATAGAATAAATCATTGATTGTTTGAGATACCTACATCATTAAAACCATAAATGAAAATAATGGGTTGAATGAACCAACCCTTAACTATGAGATACTTACATGATCAAGGAGATTTTGAGTGACTAATTGGTAGTCAACATCCTTGTATCTCTTTCCACTAATAATTTCTAGGACCACCACACCAAAGCTGTATGTATCAACTTTCTCAGATAATTGCCCATAAATTGCATATTCGGGTGCTACATAACCACTATTCCTGCAAAGATTTAACATTAGTTATTGAAAATTTACTTTAATCAAATTGAGTTAGTAGTTAAGTTATATGTACTTTTAAACATACAAAGACCCTGAGCATTTTGTGCTGAGATGAGTCTTATCTTCTGGTAACAGTCTTATAAGCCCAAAATTTGCTATTTTTGGCTGAAATTCTCTATCAAGTAGAATGTTGCTGGTTCTAATATCTGTATGGATGATGGGAACATGGTACTGTTCATGTAGATATGAAAGACCCCTTGCTATACCAAAGATTATTTCAAACCTTTGTTTCCAGTTCAGAATCCTTTTTTTCTCACCTGTTAAGTATTAACAATATTGTTACGCCAGTTGTAAATCCAGCCCTCAAAAATTAATTGAAGTTTCACAACCCACCAAAAAGGAAGTGGTCAAGGCTACCATTTTCCATGTACTCATGGACAAGAAATAATTGTGTGCCTTTTGTACAATATCCAAGAATACGTAGAAGATGCCGATGGTGTATATTACTTATGATCTTAAGTTTATCATCAAACTGTTTCTTTCCTCTACTAGAGGCCATAAAGGTTTTCTTAATTGCAACTGCACACCCATCCATGAGAGTTCCCTGAATCATTTCACCATGCATACACAAATCGTGAATTAGAGGTAATGAGGCCACAAAGGTGTATATGTAATCTAATTAGTAGACATTTTACCATGTATACTTCTCCAAACATTCCTCCAAGTTTGTTCTCATCACTGAAATTATCTGTTGCTACTTTTAAATCCTTGTAGCTATAACTAGCTGGACCTTGCAGCAATTCGGTTGATCCAGTTGACATATCTAGCAATTGGTAAACAAAAAATTGAGATATAATCCATCAGGAAACTGTAAATTCCTTCTAGTGAGCACCTAAACTATTAGTTAGCCAGAAATTTAAAGAATCAAACAGTAATATTTATCAATATATGATGTTGTTCTTACCTTGTTTGTCTCTACTTGTGTTTTTGGATTTGCGACGCCATAAGAAAAATGCAAGTGTGAGTAACAAAAAACATACACCAACAACTCCCTCAATTAAGGATTTCTTCTTGTATGAATCTCCTATAAAGCATAGAGATTGAGAAAATTCTAACAAACTGATGAACCAAAAAATAAAAACGATCCATTGACCTCATCATTTCAATAAGAGTAGAGGGCTCACCATCCCAAAGAAGAGATGTAAGATCAGATGTCTGGTTTTGTCCAAAAAGTGGAGTCGTGGAATACCTCATGAAGCATCCATAGTCGATTGCCCAACTAGAAGTTCTAGGAAGACAATCATATAATGATTTGGATCTCCACTTTAGGCATTGTAGACAAGAAGTCCGACTTAGATTTAAATGACATTGAGCAATTCCATACACCATAGCATTACCACCAGCTTCTAATTTCCTTGTAGAAACTGCATAGAAGTTCGATGTTCTTGGGGCAGCAATTTGAAGGTCAGATATCAACCTTTTTGCTGTTCTTTGGAACTCTGTTGGTTTGGCAGATGTTTTGTTAACACATAATAGGTAACGATCCAGTTCATCAAACTCGGTGAAGAAATTATAGTTTTCATATCTACATCAAAACAACTCAAGTTATCACCCACATTTTCCTTTTGACCCATGAAATTAGTCTATAGTTGAATTCTTTCTAGAAAGACCCAGATATATACCACCTGGTAAGAAGAATTATGATAAACATATGCACCTGACATCGCAGTCGCTGTAAAAACCATGAGCACCATTAGCAACCCCACATCTGTTTAGCTGAGCTACACCGTAGTTGAAACAATTCAGACAATCTGGGATGGAAACATATCCTCTGCACCAAGCAAGGCCGTACACTGGTGCACCATTAAGCAAACCACGAGCTGCTGCAAACCTGCTGATGGATAACTGCTGGCGGAGGCTAGAAATGGTGGAGTTAAGGTTGCTCAAGAAATTCTCTCCGTCCACAGGTCTGTATTGACTACAATAATTTATCGCAATTCTTTCAGGTGATTGTGATGTCCTTGGCTCCGCCATGGTTATGAGTACCCCAACCACCACCAGCAGGCGGGGCAGCTGCCACAACCGCCGGTGTTCCACTTGTTTCATGTTTAATTGTTTATCTTCCTTTTGCTTTGGTATCTTTTTCTTTTCAGATTACACCTGTCCTTTGACATTTCAGAAGGTCATTTTCGACTATAGTGAAAATAGCTGTCATGAAAGAATATTTGTATCGTTTCGCGCACGCCATTATTGAGCAGTCTTGAACTAGTAGTCTGCGATGTGAGGGCCCTATACATTTTAAGAAATATGATGCCTACGAATTATATTTCAGTTAATATAATCTTCAAATCAATATTTAGTTTGTTTATTTATTAATTTCTTTTAGCAACTTGAAATTATTATAACTCATATATTAAATTTAGTAGTTTCTATTATTTTACAAATATAAAAGTAATACGTAAAAGGAAAACAATTAGTTTTTTATTTAATACTCCCTCCGTCCCAAATTGATAGTCCACTTTTTATTTTTGAAGTCTTTTTTCTTCAACTTTGACTTTAAATATTTTTATTTGTGTTACATATTACTTGATAAAACTTATAACAATAAAAAAAAACATTTAAAATACGATCCATTTATATATTTTGCATCAACTATTATCTATAAAAAACAAAAATATTTAAGATCAAAATAGAAGAAAAAAGACTTCAAAAATCAAAAGTGGACTATCAATTTGGGACGGAGGTAGTATAATATTAGTTCATTGTCCTTGACTTATCAAATGTTATTTTATACAAAATTAAGTTTTATTTATATAAAAAAATATAAACAAAGAGACCACAAGCATATGATTGAACTTCAACGGTGTTCAAATTAACCTCTCATTCAACTCAAACATAATGAATAAGGTTTAAAATATGGTTCATTTTTGTATCATATTTATTTGAAACTTCCACCATTTTAATTTATATGAATTAGTTATAATATTGTATCAATATAAGAACATTGTTTTCATGTTTGGTTACTTATGTGTATATTTTTATATTAAAAGTGTCTGTGTTTAAAATTTATAGATCATTAATCTTTCACGACTTAAGCAGTATATAAACATACAGTAAACCCAATCGAGTATAATATAATTGCGTTAAAAAAATGTGTCGAAATCTATAGGAATGGGTATGACTAATAACATATTAAATTAATTGAAAAGAGAAAAAAAATTAAAAATTAAGGGGGAGGGGTTGTGTTTTAAACTTATCTTTTAAACTATTACTTCATATTATCGAACAAACAAAGAATTATAATAAAAACAGAAAGATTGAAGAAATTCTACTTAGATTTCGAATACCCTTTGCAACACCCCAACCAAATATAAGACACTATTAAGATAAGAATAAATAGAACCCTTTTCATTATCAAATGAATATCTAAATCATTGTCTATATAAACCATGAAATGAAATGATGTTTCTTGCCATATCTGGCGAATAGCAACAATTATTTAAATCTAAACCTAATACATTACTAAGCACTAAGGAATATACTTCAATCTTTGTGACAGACGACGATCTTCTGCTTCCCATGATTAGGTTTATCCTTCCACGCTCCACATCCCTATTTCTTCTTAGTCCCTACAAATCAGAACATATGTGAAAACCACATCCTGTATCAAGAACCCAAGAAATAGCATGCGATGAATCATTAGATTTAATAGTGTAAATACCTATGAAGGACGACTTGATCTTCCCATCCTTGATAGCTTGCAGATATTCTGGGCAGCTTCTTTTCCAATGCCCTATCTTGTGGCAGTGATGGCACTCTGCCTCCTTTGGGTTTGAGTTGGGTTTATCAGAACTAACTTTGGTTCCACTAGAAGAGGTACCATATTGGGACTTTCCCTTGTGGTGACTCTTTGAGGGAGCCTTCCTCTTCCTACCCTTCCCTTGCCCTATTGCCAAGACTAGGGCAACAGCGGGAGTTGGAATTGATGCAACAGACTTATCTTTGAGATTGCTCTCAACAGTCCTTAGCAAGCCTTGAAGCTTGCTCAAAGTGACCTCTTCCTTATTCATGTGGTAGGTCATGCGGAACTGGCTATAGCAGGGAGGCAAGGAATGAAGGATGATGTCAATTGCCAGCTCTTCATCAAATTTCACATTTAACTTTAGCAGGCGATCGACATATCTCTGCATCTTTTTGCAGATGAACAGTAAGGGATTCTCCATTACCCATTTTGGTAGTGATCATCGAAGTGATGATCTCGTACCTTTCTTGCCTAGCGCTCTGGTGGTACCGGTCCAGCAAGTCTTGATGCATTTCATAGGGATACATGTCCTCGTAGGACTTTTGGAGTTCCGCAGTCATAGTCGCTAGCATGATGCAATGGACTTTCGGGACATCACGCTCATGGGCCTCAAAGGCTGCGATTTCTTCAGCAGAGTCATAGACTGGACACATTTATATGATGAAGATGAACTCGACGAGTTCAAGGATGAACTCGGCGAGTCGGTTGAAGATGGTCCTAATGTTATGGTTGAAGGTGAACTCGTCGAGTTCTTGCTAGACTCGACGAGTAGAGTCGGGGGGGGGGTTGTATCATTTTGAAAGAATAGAGACTCGACGAGTTGGTGGACCAACTCGGCGAGTCAAGTCAACTGGATGTTGACTTTGACCAAAGTTGACTTTGACTTTGATTTTGACCTGGACTTGAGTTGACCCTTGTAAAGGAGGGTTGTGGGTACAGATTAGTAATCAAGGAGGGTTGTTGTGTAGGGATTGAGGAGTTGAGACGAGAGGACTTCTGTACCAAGGATTTTGCAGACACTACGCGACATCGAGGTGAGTTACCTTTTAGTAGCGGTGGGTCTACGGCCACAATGTCGGCCCACCAGTAGGAGTGTATGTTAGACAATTGTCTTTGTGATAATTTTCTATGTTTACTGCTACTTGATATGTTTATGTGTTAGCATGTTATGATGTTATGTGATCGTAGCAGTAGGGGAAATAGTCCCCAAGTTACCGGCCGATAGGGCCGAAGGGGTAGTTTAGTACCCAGCTATGCTAGACAGATTATGATTATATGATAATATGTGGTAGTAGTAAGGGGTGATATAATCCCCTGAGACCGGTCGAGAGGACCGAAGGGGTAGGCCAACACCCAGATATGCTAGGCAAGGTCACCGGTCGAGAGGACCGAAGGGGTAGGTTGGGCACCCAGATATGTCTGGCAGTATGTATGTCATGTGATTGTATGGTATGTGGTATGATGGGGGAACTCACTAAGCTTCGTGCTTACAGTTTTCAGTTTTGTTTCAGGTACCTCTTCAACGAAGGGGAAGGAGCCGGCGCGGTAGCGGCACATCATACACACGCATGATTTATGCACTATGAGATTTCTTGGAATTGTACTCTGACATTGTTACTATTTTTATGATATGATTTTGAGACATGAGATTATGGTTTTATGAAATGATATGACTCAATGATGTTTTTTATAAATGTTTTCTAAATTGTTATATCAAAAATGAAGTTTTTGGTCTTGAAATTTGGGATGTTACATTGGGCTCATTAGGGTTAAACGAGTCGGGCACCACCCACTACCACCTCGGGTAGTGGCGATCAACGGCGGCTCAAGGCGGTGGCCACCACCTCACGATGGTGGTTATGGTTCTAGTCCAATTATGTCCAAACATCCCAAAAGCAGTCTAACACAAAAAAAATCACACCGCCACCCAACACGGCGGCTGGTGGCGGCAGCCACCACCCCAAGGTGGTGGTTATGAGTTTTTCTTTTGATTATTCTGACACGATTACAATTTTTACAATGCAAATCCCAAATAACACACACACACATCCTAAGATAAACACACACACACTACCACCCTTGTGGTGGCCGGTGGTGGTACATGGTGGCAGCTACCACCTCACGGTGGTGGTGGTGACCTTTCTTTTGATTCACAAACACGCAACACATCACACACACATGCCTTGACTACAAGATGGTCACAACCACCCACCTGGTGGCGTACGACGGCGGCGATGGAACGAGATGGCGGGCAGCGGCGACGCTTACGGTGGCAGAAGAGCATTCCCGGGGACAGCCACCATGGTTGATTGTCATGGTGGTCTTCTTGCGTTTTCCAGCCAACATCTCACCCACACACAGCTTGCAATCAGTACACCTAATCACTACACGAGATACAACACGAAGAAACACACCCTACTGAGCTATCCTCGATGTGGCGTCGGCAACTGAAACATAGCAGAAAACCACCGTAGGGAACGACGGCAGCGGCAGACTCCAGCTAGCTGCGATCGGAGAAGAAACGGGAGGAGGATTGGTCGCAGCGGCTTCTGACGACCATCGAGTTGGCGTCAATAGATGCTCATCGTCATTGTTGCAGTCGCACCGGCGGCTGGCTTCAGATGTTTCCGGCTTCACGGTGGCTAGGAGGTGGCAGCCGGAAGCTTGGGGGGGTATAAGGGTGGTGCGGCGCCGGAAGGGTGATGTGAGGGTGGCGGCTGCATAAAATATTAAGGTTAGGGTTTGAGGAGGCTATCGAACAGTTAAATTCCCGGCTCTCATAAACTTCTCCCCATAATGACACCTTTAGTCCCTCATTCCCCTTTTCTTTCAATTTAAATCCTTAATTTACTATTTAAACCCCTCCTTCTGAAAATCCTTACAAATCAAGTCCGAAATATTTACCAAGCAGCCCCTGCTTGACAAATTCTTTTCAACTTAGGTACATAATTTATCCTTTTAGCCCCATCCATCCAAAATCCTTTCATATTAAGTCCAAATGTAACCAAACACCCCCTGACTACTGAAAATCTTTACAAAATGAGTCCTGAAATTACACTTTAACCCCCAAAACTCTAAATCGTGTCATTTGGCTCCCCGAAACCAACGCCCCGCTAAATATTATGGATTTTTTGTTACAATAATACAAAATAATAATAATAATACATCTCGGGGTTCCGGGTTTATTATTTAATTACTCTATTTTAAACGGGATGTTACTTTCCAATGTATGATCTCGGTCCTCTATCTTTTTTCCTTGGGATTGCTGTTTCTCGCACTAATAAGGTTCTTTTCTTATCTCAAACCTTGTTTGCTAAAGAAATTTTGTCTCATGCTGACATGTGTTCATGCAATCCTTGCGCCACACCTTCGGATACCAAGTCTAAACTTTCACCTGATGGCACCCCTGTCTCTGATCCCACTATTTATCGAATCCTTGTTGGAGCTTTGCAGTATCTTACTTTCACTCGACCTAATATTGCCTATGTGGTTCAACAAATACGCTTATTCATGGATGATCCTCGTGAACTGCATTTCCTTGATCTCAAGCATATTCTTCGTTACGTTCAAGGTACGCTCACTGATGGTCTCTTCATCTGACCATCCTCTATTGATTGTTTGGTATTTTATTTTGATGCTAATTGGGCTGTCTGTCCTCACACTCGTCGCTCCACCTCTGGGTTCTATGTCTATTTGGGTGATAACCTTGTTTCCTGGTCAACATGTTGTTTTACGCTCCTCAGCTGATACCGAGTATCGCGGGGGTGGCCAATGTGGTTGTTGAAGCTGCTTGGCTTCGCGATCTTCTTTTTGAGTTATCTTGTCCTTTGATAAAGCAACGGTTGTGTTTTGTGATAATGTGAGTGTTATGTATTTATCTTCTAACCCTATACAATATCAATGTACCAAACATGTGGAAATAGACTTACATTTTGTTAGGGAACATGTTGCTATTGGACATGCATGTGTTTTGCATGTTCCATCAACTCACCAATTTGCTGATATATTTATAAAGAATCTTCCTACTCACTCTAGACTTTCGGGATAGTTTAAACATTTGTAAACCCCATGTTCTAACTGAGGGGGTGTGTTAACTTGTAGTCTTATTTTTATACTTTTTATAGTATAGGGACCCTTATGTAACTTTGATATATATATATATATATATATATATATATATATATATATATATATATATATATATACCTTAATCAATACTATACGTTAATCAATGGGGCTTTTACCTCAAATAATAGTAAGGGTGAGCATGGTGAGGTTTTTAGGCCAAAACTGAACCGCAAAATGCATGCATCAGTTTTATTAATCCGAAATCCGCACACATGCGGTTTTTAACAAGTGCGGTTTTGCAATTTTTTTCTAGTGGTGTGGTTTCGGTTTAAAACTGCACAATGAAATGGTACGGTTTTCTATTGTGGTGTTGTCTTAAAACCACGAGAGACGGTAAGTGAAGCATTTTTTATTAAAATTTTAGCATTTAGACATTTATCCAACACACATTAGCGAGGAGCAATTTAGTTGAAATCATAGCCTTGGTCAACATACACGATCATAGCACATACTCTTGGCTATTTTGATCCATCACATAAAAAGAATTTAAAAAAAAAAAAAAAGTAGTTAGCATTAGATGTATTATTTATCAGGATATCTAATTTCAATAAACAGTTACCATGTTTGTTAACATTCGCAAATTTATTTTCACAATTGTCATTTATATTTCATTATAATTTGATCTATCTACGTACTTGATAAAAGGTTATTACTGTAATGAAAATATACACAATTAGCATCATATTCACAATTGTCATTTATATACGTACTTGATAAAAGGCTATTACCGTAATGAAAATACATAGTTAGCATTTACAATCTTTTACCACTTGACATAATTTCTACATAAGATTTTCGTAATTTATTATTAATTTCTAAATCCCATAGTTAATTGACAACTCATGAAAGAAAGTCAAAAATTTTCTAACAACAAGAGTTTTATTAATTTTGAAGAATTTACTAAGTAGTCTAGTAACCTTCCCAAATACAACTTCGATTCAGTTAAAACATCCAAAAAAATCCCTAGTGCATAGTAGGTTTGGTTTAGTGTTAAAGATAGAATTAGCATAAATAAGCAATTTCACCAATAGTATAATCGACTTACTGAATCATGTTTGATCCAAATTTTACCGGTGGTTAAGCACTATTGATCTATGATGTAAAAAAATTACGTAAGAAAATAAAACAATAACGTAAAGTTTGGAGGTTCAGAAAAATATAACAAAACACAGTTAGACAACACCCTTTACAAAAATCAGCTCAATAGTTCTCAGCAACAGGTCTAGAAGGAAAAAGCCTTTGTACAAAAGTCAAAAAAGACCAGATGCAAACCACCGCAAGAACTTCAAAAGTCACTATCATTGCCGCCAATGCACCACCCTTCTCCATCAATTCCGGCGACTTTGGTAGGCCCCTCATTGTGAACATCAACTTCTCAATGAAATGCATAGCTTTGTTCAACTGGTACAGCCTATAAACCTGCCCAAAACCATTCAAATAATTACAAAACTTGCCCCCTATTTCTGTAAATAACATGTTGTACTGTGTTTGACAGGAACCGATGCCAATGAAACAAAAATTACAAATTTTTGTCCTGCCCATAAAGGTGGTACAAGGTATGACAGGGACTCAGCTCTCGATCTCTCTTCTGTGTGAAAAGGCGTAAATGCCCTCCTTATCTTCATCATCGAAAATAGCCCTAGAAAGCTTGTCCAGTCCCGTCCCATGTAAGAATGCAGCCGAAGGCTGCATTTGTTACACAGGACAGGACGGGCCAATACAAGCTTTCTAGGGCTATTTTCGATGATGAAGATGAGAAGGGCATTTACGTCTTTTTGCACAGACGAGAGATCGAGAGCGAGTCCCCATCACACCTTGTACCGCCTTTATGGGTAGGACAAAATTTTGTAATTTTTATGTCATTGGCATCGGGACCCGGTCTAATGCATGTCAAACACAGTACAACATTCTACGTAACAAAGAGGGTGTAACCGTGTAAGTAAATCAAAATCCATAAAATTTTGAAAACTACAAACCTCGAACACAATAGGGACGAGAGGCCAACATGACGATTGACGTTTTTCAAGAACTTTTTCGAATATAAATTGGACAAAACATCCAACTAAGTAAGGAGTGACAGAAACCACTCCAGCCAAACCAAGTAAAGGCCAAGTGACAAATGCAGCAAATAGAGGTGCGATAACTTTAAACCCCATCACAAAAAATGCCGATGTTAAGTATCCTCTAAATCCCGTTATTAGGCTCCATCTTTTCATGCTATATTGCAAATAGGGTTTTTGTACTTTGTCAGTAACAAGGAGAAACGTTGCTAAACCAATGTAAAACATGATTTCTGAAGCAGCTGTGAACACAATCTCTGCATGAAAAAAAACAATGGGGGAAAATTGTTAAGTTCCTTTTACTAAAACCACTAAGCTAGAATAAAGAAAAATATATAAAACACTAAAAAATGATGCTTTGAAATATGATACCTGTAAGAACCACATCTTTAAGAAGCTCTTCACTGAATAAGCCGAAAAATTGTGGGATCAAAATGGATGAGATCAAAGCTATAGGGCCCACAACCCAAAGCAAAGACCGATTATCTTTGAAAGGTGTTGACACCAATTTCCCTTCTTCAATTAATTGGTGAGTCAACCCAATGAATGAAACAGATCCTGATTTACCTCTAAATGGTTCGACTCCATTGATATCACTAACATTTTGATCTGTGATCTTTAATTTGGCATCATTAATTGCACACATGAGATACCCTCCTCTACTTGAGGGCTCTTTGGTCTTTCTCCTCTTTGAATCACCCACAAAAAAGACTACACAAAATTCTAGTTAGTGTTTCATCATTTTCTCAAATGCTTGTGTAGATTGATGCAGTTATCAGAGTTTCTCAAATTCTACAGAATTCACATGGAGTTTGTAAATTAAAAAAAGAGTGAGGATTTGGTTCATTCTCTTCGCAGTTTTTGCGTTTTCTTCCGTTTCAAATAAACTGCATATTTTCTTTTTAAAGAAAGGGATTTATGATTCTATTAAGAAAAAAATATTCTATTATCAAAATTAGAATGAAGAATCAAATACCATTTGGCGCCCTTTGGATCCGAAACGAAGCTTTGTTCCATACTGAAGATGAACGAGAAATCTACATAGACGTAATGCGAAAGTCAAAATTGTAAAATTAAACAAATTGTAATATCTAGAATTCAAAATTTTGAATAATTTACACTGGGGATGGAGAAGGGGCGACGGTTTGAAGGCGGAGCTACGGTGGAAGGAAGGTTGTGAAGACTAGTTGTAAAGGCCGTCATTTTTGCGCTCATTGTTGCTTTTGTGCATAGAGGTTTTAGCAGCAAGCTTGGAATTTGATTGAGCCCAAAAACCCTAAACCCCTTGTTTGATTGCTTTCGAATTTCGATATGGTTGAAATTGAAATTTTGGGAATGGGAAGAACTGTGAAAGAATTTGAGAAATTATCACTGGATTCCGGTTTATTTGGGCTTTGTACAAGCAACTCAAAGGTTTCTTTACTGTATACGCTTCCTAAAAGGTTTGTTTGGGGAAAATTGTTGGATCTTAGACCATGGGCCAATGGTTTTGATACTGCGGCATTGCGCTTTGAATGTTTAGTGGGATGTTTATTAGTTTAAGACGGTATTAAAATATAATATTAAAATAAATATAGTTTATGTTGTATTAAACTAATTATTATAGAGGTAATTAATAAAAAGGATCTAAAAAGTGATTGGAAAATTCAAAGAAGGTATCTAAAATGTTCCCGGGAAGGAATCTATATAAGTTTGTCGTGTCAAATGTTGCTTTTTTATTTTTTGTACTAGGTGTTAAACCTGTATATTACACGGATTGATTAAAAAAATTAAATATTAAAGTGTGAAATTAAATTATTTAAAATAAAATTTTGAAATAATAAGAAAGGAAGAAACATATTTATTACAATTTACTGTCACATTTATTACAATAAATACTTTGCATATATAAGTATAACTATTATGTGGCTTTTTAATTTTAAATTTTGAAAAAAATCTAGAAAATGACATGTGGATATTATTTATTCTAAAAATACTACAAAATGAGATGTGTCAAAACTCATAAAAAATTGACATGTGGCAAAATGGATCTTCATTTATTATAATAGATATTTAGACTTAGTTTAGGGTGTCTAATACACCTACCAAAGTTACATATTAACCTGTTCAAGCATCTCTTGCAGAAGGCATAGGGTACTCAATATTTTCAAGCCCGATCATGAGCTTTATAAGGCCCTATGCAATTTAGTAAAAATATACCCTAAAGCTTATGTAATTTGTCATAATACAAACCTCATTTACTACGTCTTGTTTGGCTATGCAATTTAGTAAAAATATGCCCTAAAGCTTATGTAATTTTTCATAATACAAACCTCATTTACTACGTCTTGTTTGGCTATATCGTAAATCAAGTTGTGTAAGCTAAGAGAGTAATGTATCATGGTATAGTCATAGGAAATCCACAAAGTTGTATGATGTCCAATCTAATACTCTTATTAACATATATACTTGAGATTCACAAGAGTAACACAACCAAAAACAATCAAATTCGTGAAGTTGTGAAAATTTATGCTAAAAATAATATGGAATATATTGGTTATTGTCTACCTTTGGGGTTCATCTTTGGCATTCTCTCTAAAGCATCATGAATCTTAAGAAACATCTATTTGTCCAGATCTAACTTATCCAGAATTTTAGATACTTTACCATTAGAATTTGACCAACTAACATCAGTTACATGTTCTTGTTCCAACATCTTCCTTACACTTTACACTTCGATCGATGCTTGGCAAAATACTCACTGAAACACAAATCCGCTGTTAGGCGGAATGCTCTCTTGTCAAATTAGAGTTGGTAATCGCCTAACATATATAATAACACATCCACAATAGATCGCCGATTGGTCACTGTCTCTTTGTAAGAACAAGTAATGACATAATAAAGGGTGGTCGTTTACACCCACATGTACATCAACCCACCAACCAAAAAACGACGTCGTGAAAAGCATTTTGGAAAATATTGTAGCATAGTCATAAGGCCACGACCCATGGTTTGCAATTTGAAGTGATCATTGCATCGTATACACAATCATACTGAAAAAAAAATATATTAGCATCATGTTCCATACATGATCTTATGTTCCAGGCATTATCTTATGTTCTAGAAATAATCTTCCTGTTTATGATATATTCTCTATGTATGATATATTCTCTATGTTTCGGACATTTGGGCATGGTTCTACACTAGTTCTAAGGGTTCCTAATATATATATCTAACAAAAAAAAAACAACTACATCAATGAAATATTTTCATAAAAAATATACTAAATTCCAGACTAGTTTAAATCGCTAATATGATCAAAAGAGATTTTTGGAAAGAAATATTATCCAAAACGTTGTCATCTCTCTAACGTCCTCATATATGGGCTAGACATTAAAACATAATAAGGAATAATTATCATGATTAAAAGAATCCTCGAATAGAATAATCGTTAGTTGTGTGCGTTGCTTACTACATAATATAATAGGGGTGAGCAAACCCAAACCAAGAAACCGAGAAACCGACTAAAACCAACGAAACCGAAACTGAAAAAACTGAAACCGAAGCAAAACCGACGTTTAGGGTTTGAACTTTTTAAAAACCAAAAAATCAGGTTCGGTTTCGGTTTTTACCCAGAAATCGACCCATCCAACCCGAGAACACGACCCATACTTAAAACCGACAAACCACCCCAAGAAACCGACCCATACTTGATTGTGTTTTGGTTGTGATAGACTATTTCGGGCTTTGGTTGTAACTTGTAATAGACTATTTGTTGTAAGACTCATGTTTTTTGAAGTATTTAACTTAAATTTGGTGTTTTTTGAAGTATTTAACTTGTTGCTTCATTTATGGAAAATGGGTTAAAACCCATGGGTTTAAACCCAGAACCCGTGAGTGTATGGGTTGAACGTAAGAAACCGAAAAACCATCTAAACCAACCTCAGAACCCAAGAAACCGAACCAACTAGAAACCGATTGTATTGGATTCTGAAAACCAGAAACCGACTATTTATGGGTTGGGTTGGGTTTGGGTCCAAAACCGACCCATGCATAACCCTATAATATAAGCCTTTTCTTAGGGAATTTATCGATGAGCGATAAATTAACATTTTTGATAACCGATTATTTAGGATAAATAATCTTTTTTAAAGTTGTAGTAGCCACGATGGTCTATAGACGTAAGGAAAGCTCAAGTCCTGCTTCGTGTGAAGAAATTATGATCGTTTGAAGTATTGCGTTCAGTCCTCATATGGCAAAATACATCATAAAATACGAATCAAATATCAATTGCTTATTGGCCCAAGTAATCTAAATGAAAGTCATAGTAGTCATTGAAGCGAGAGAGTGGATATAGAGAACGTCCAAATCTGACTTCATATGAGGAAGTTATGATTTTCAAAGTTTTGGCACAGCATTGTCAACACAGAAACTGAAATAAAAATTTTGAGAGTGACTTAATTGTTGGGTTTTGAGCATTCTAACACTCCTAAGTATACATGCAACCCTAAATACCTTGGATCTATGTTTTCTATATTATACATGCAAATATGAACTTTCCAAGGTATTCATCCTAACTAGCATAATAACATTGATTCATATGAATATATCAAGTTAGAATTACATACCTCTTTTGATGTAGAATGACTTCATGAAGCTTGAGTGCCTAGTGCCCCAAGTGTGACACCTCAAATGGTTCACACAACACCGAATACACTTGGAATAACTTGAGAGAATTGGAACACTTCATCAAATCGGCTAGCCCTTTCTATCACACATAGTCGCCGATTTTCTCCAAGAATAAGATCATTATATAGTTAGGGTTACACCATGTAAAACCTAATTGTCATGGCCTTTCATTTCCATGATCCATGGGTACAAATACACCATGGAGCATCTTATGGGTTTTAGCCCAACTTAACAATCCATGGAGCATTAACCCACTATATAAGTATGGATGATTTACACAATCAACCCATATATTTAATTAGTCTTCTTTTGATCACTTAATTAATACTAGATTAATTCTTGATCAATACTAATTAAATAATCTTATTAATATATTATAACTTATAATATATTAACAAACCTTAAGTGTTATTTCTCTCATTATAGTCTATCCAAATGCATGATGCCATGCAACCCAAATGGACCATGCCGGGTCGGGTCAAGTCTTACCAATTATAGTTATGGACTTAGACATTAATCCAACAGTCTCCCACTTGGATAAGTCTAAAACTATTATTGCGTATGACTTCAAGAACCGACTGGCAATCGTAGCTCTCAAAAGCTTCCGTCGAACTATGACCTTGCCGATGATCTCTGACCTCTGTCAATGATTTGTCCATTAGATAAGTGATCATATATTCCTCCATTCTAGATATCATATGGACTGAGACATGGATTATAAATCATTCTCTCTGTCCATTTGTTGTTTCCTGATTTTCGATTTATGATGACTGACTGATTGAACAAATCAAATCAGTCCTGGCTTGGCCAAGCACTCACATGTGTCATCGCTAAATCATCGAGGGGCCCACATATATCGCTTTTATCCCGAAGGTAAAAGGAATGGATAAACTTCGACTCATATGGCTTGTTCTACTACTTGTTGAATCATACACAAAGGCACGTTTTATAACATCGAGTTACCAATACGTTTTCGTGCAATCAATGTACTATTAACTCATAGTAACAACTCATATCTCTAGGTTTGAAGAATATACGATATTATCGTCTCATGATCACTCGTGATAAAATCCATGAAGTGATTCAAATGAGCGCGTGTTGAATCCAATACTTAGAACTTATGAGCACTCATGAGTGTTGTAGCACCACTTTGTCCACCAACTTGGACCTCTACAAGCCAACCCATGACAATCTTGATTCATATCTACTTCCAACATATAACCGACTGTGGATGGTTTGAATAACTTAGTCATTCAGGAAGAATAACCTAGTTTATTCTGGAAGTCAAAACATGCAAAATGAAACACAAAAATAAATGAATCTAATATGGTATCAAACTATGAATATAAATAAAACACTTTTTATTTATCACCATACTGATTACTCATTATTAATTGTTTCGGTTTTATCAACTTTATACTTGAATTTAGAAAACACTAGTTGTCCCATGCTCCAAGCATGTACACTATGTTTTTCTAAGAAATAGCTTTGCAATACATCAAGTATGCACTCTATGTTTGTCTATGATCCTTACTTTGTGAAATAGACTAATTGAACATAATTTCAATGATTCTAATTTCAATCTTCCAAATCCTTATCGAAAAATGTGAGAATTTCAAATTCCTATCATTTATCGAAATCTGTTTAGATTTTAAACTTATATGCACTGACCCTCTTGTAAT